TGTGTGTGTGTGTGTGAGATTGTCATAACAGAGCTGTCCCAGTTTTTTTTTTGTGCAGTGAGTGCACCAATGTTATTTTACTAGTTTAGAAAGTAGATGTCACTGCATGTGTGCGTGTGTGAGAGTGTGTGTGAATGAGACTGACAGAGACTGTGAGGGTGGTGTGTATGTGGTAGAGTTACATGAAGAACAATAGCCTTATTGTACCTGTGTCTGCTGCTACTGTCTGTCTTGTGTCGATGCTCTGCACTGAGCCTATTTGCCTCATTCTTTGTGTAACCGATCATCTTTAACATTTGTGACAAGATGTTGTCTTCTACAAGAATAAAGTTATATTATACACTTGTAAGCTCTCTGGTGGCTTAAGTGTTGCAGGTTTCCCCCAGTGTACTGAAGCTAAGTATCACCAGTGTGATGTTTTTCTACCAAACACTGTCTGTGCATTCAAGTATTTGCTCTTTGCATTTTAACGTGTAGCATGGCACAACACAGAGTTTGGTCACATGACATCCAATCTCGATGCACTGCCTGCACTGTGATCGGATCTCAATATGTAAATTACTTAAGTGGAGCTGGCAGATATGGTTATACCTAAGGGAAGCAATGTTGCTGTATAGGGTCTACTTAGGCATTTTTAAATCACTTTTTGCATTTTTTATTCGCCAGAAAGGATATCCAGATACACCTGGTACTGTAATGCCTGGTGTAAATGAGGAGGAGGAAGAGAAAACAATGTTTTAGCATTCCAAATGATTAAAATCTAAGCATTAGAGGCAAAGATATTCTAATGTTTAGTCGCAAGCATAACCCCAAAACGTGCTAGATCCTACATTTCATCCAACGTTTCACAACGTTAACCACGCAAGCTGAATTTTGAAAGTCTACCTGGAAATATGTGCCTCTTGCGCATGCTTGTGAGGAGGTCTGCCACTTTGTCTGCAGCCAGGTACTGGTTTGTTACAGAAGATAATAATGTAGAGAATTGAGTTTTAAATTTCATCATTCATCAATCATTGACCTTTCTGCATCGAGACATAAGCAAGAATGCTTCTAAAAATCCATTTTTTCTCCCACCCTGCTATGTAGCATTTTTGAGCAAGCAAAGTCAGCTAAAGGGACTAGACAAAGCCACAACTGCACTGATCTGAACTCAAACCAGTTTCACTACCCACCCAGCACCATCCCCCTATTTTGGCACTGGGCCCTGCAACCATAGTAGCACACAGAGGGGGCCCAGGGTCCCCTCACTAGGGTGGGACTGAAGAGAGAGGGAAAGAAGAAAGAAATGGATAAAAGATGATACAGACAAAGATGATGAGTCTCGAGATCAGGAGTGATAATGAAAAAAAAAAACGTGTGAAAAGGAATTTCTCTCCTCCGATCCCATGATGGTTAAGCAAGAGATTTGGGGTGAATGAGGGGCAAGAGGAGGGGAGAGAGGAGAGGAGTAAGGAGGAAAGGAAAGAAGGTGGGAGAGTCAAACTGGGAAAGGCAAATGAGGTAAGCATACAGAGAGATCAGGAGGGATAAAACGGATGGGTGATGGATGATGGATGCAGAGATGAAAAGGATGGACAAGAGGGAGGAAGGGATGTATGGGGAGCTTGAATGAAAGAACTGGATGAGAGGAAAGGTAAGAAGACATGAGAGGGGGCAGGGGAACATGAGTGGAGGAAGGAGACAAAAAGAGGGATGAGAGACACTGGGGAAAAATGATAAAGAGAATGAGAAGAAAGAGGGAAAGCGGACATGGAGGGATGAGGGGAATTAAAAAAGAGAAAGGAAAAAAAGGTACTGAGTGTGTAATAGCCAGTGGGCCAGTAGGTCCACTGTGCTAATCCGTATTGTCAGATTATAGTGTAATCCCACGCTACAACACACACACACACACACGAGCGCACACACACACAGCGCAGGGCTAAAGTGTCCGACTGGACCCTGCGGTGCTGAATTGGAATAAGCATCAGTGATCCAGAAATTTCCTGGCACGACATCGCGTGCTTGTTGCCATGGCTACGGCTCCAGGAAGAGAGAAAGAGGGAGAGGAGAGAGCAAAAGCAGAAAAGTGAGGAAAGATAAGACGGGAAAGAGAGGGGGAGGGACGGAAAAACGTGAAAGAAAACTGAGACCAGAACCAGTCATACACCCACACACAAGCATGCAGAGCCAAATCCACATGTTCTGCATGTGTTGAACAGCTGCATACAACCAGCCCATAAGCCAGTACATACAAACAACAGTGCTCATTGGCTCGGGACACCACTACGTCTCCACCATTGGCTGGTGCGCTGCAAAACAACCGTCTGATTGGCCTGAAATAACACACACCTACTGTAGCAAAGGGATCAAAGGACGGGAGTTAAGTGAACACGGATGTCTGTATGATACTATATAAACACACACAATGCACAGCGGAGCTCATGTCTGCTAATGTTTTCGAAACTCATGCTTTTACATTCATCCTAAACCTGTCAACTTACTATTTCTGTTTTTCCCCAATTTAACCCTTTTAACCGCAGTACAGTTCCCTGTCTCATTTATTTGCTTTGTGTTCTACATATATGAAACTAAATTTCTCATGTTGTATATATTAAAAGTGAAACTTTATATATACTTAGTAAGAAAACCCAGAAAAGTGAGTACTTTGGGCTCACAGCTAAACCTGCCCCTCATTTCTTAGCTGTGGCTCAGAGGTAGAGCGTGTCGTCCACTAATCGGAAGGTTGGTGGGTAATCCCAGGCTCTTCTCACCGCATGCCGAAGTGTCCTTGAGCAAGATACTGAACCCCAAATATGACCCCTGGTTTATGAGTCTGCGTGAATGCCAACTGCTCACCAGAGTGTGAATGTGTGTGAATGGGGTGATTGTGGCATGTAGTGTGCATCGCATATATAAGTACAGTCCATTTAGCATGCTAACATTTGCTAATAGGTAACAACGTCAAAGTACAGCTGAGGATGATGGGAGTCCTTGCTGCAGCGGCCATGGGTTCGAACCTGTGGCCCTTCGCGTGTGAGTCATCCCCTCTCTCTCACCGTTTGCTGTCTATCCTGAGCTGTCCTGTCAAATTAAGGCAAAAAATAACATCCCCCCCGAATTATTTTGAATTAAAATTTTGACCTGACCATGGCGCTAGCTAGATGAAGGTGATTAGAAATGATTCTCATTGGGCCATGACTATCTTTAGCTAATTTCAGAGCAATCCATCCAAAAGTTCTCAAGATATTTCTCTCTGAACCACAAATGTAAAACTCATGGTGGCGCTAAAGGTAAAATCAGGGAATTGCCAAAGTCGGTACGATTTATCCTCCAGCTACAATGAAAGGCTGAATGTAATTTTGTGGCAAATCCATTAAACAGTTTTCTATTTTAGACCAACCAACCGTCACCTGCCATCCCTGGATACATGCATTTAGAAGGCGGTAAACCACTGACACACTTAATTTATGATCTCAGTAAACAGTTTCCTGATAAGTTTATGGTCTCAGTCGCTAGTTTAACATCTTCTTCAATAGCATTATGATGTTCATTTAGTAAATTATGGTCTAATTTATAAAGACGACAAAGCCGTGTGTGCTTTTGGGCGGGGCTACCTTTTTATTGACAGGTCATTCTCAGAGATTCCGTCCAGCACAGTGCACCAAACTCCGATCAAACTGTTGAACTAGGCAGTGCTGATCAAATACAGCTAGGTTCTGTTACTGCGTTGACTATTTCTCACTTAAAATCCTTTCAGAAACATATTTTAGTGAACTGTTTAGCTGGAATACAAGACTGTGTGTGACCAGGCGAGCCGCCATTGTTTCCTGCTAAGGACGAGTCAAAACTGCGCAGCCAATGAGCGTAGATCAACTCGCAGTACGTCGCGTCTGCTGGCTTGTACTGGCTCTGTTTTACTGTCATGGCAGCGGCCAAAATGCAGAACTGGAGACTTCAAAATAATGCTCCACAAACCAATGGGTGACGTCACGATAGGTTCACACTTGGTATATATGTATACCAGAAAATCGTGGAAAATGTCAATCGGAGTCCAAATTGGTGTCTACAGATCTACACAACTATGCATCAAGCCACACGTTAACATCTGCTGTACTAATCTTTTCCATTTCTATTGCAGAGAGAAACTCATAGCAGCCAACATGGCCAAAATGCCCAAGATGGTAGCTGACTGGCGGAGAGAAAAGTATGAAACCAAGCAGAAGCTAAAGGAGGAGAAAGCCCGCCGTGCAAAGTTACTGTCCGAAGCCAGAGAGCGCTTTGGCTACACGGTGGACCCCCGCAGCAAAAAGTTCTTGGAAATGGTTGCCGAAATAGAAAAGGAAGAGAAGAAGAAGAAGAAACTAATGAAACGCAGACTGAAAGAGAGCCAGGCGGCAGCCCCTGTCACACCTCCTGCTGCCTCCTCGTAGTCTTGGACTGAGTCATTTGAGACTTAAATAACTGTTGGGCCTTGGTCTGTCTGTATTTAATGAGATGGAAGGTATGCTGCATAACACAGCTCAGTGGAATGGTTGTTATAGAGCATATAAAGTCCTTGTTTTGTGTTACTGCATCTGAAATGACCTGGAATTGATTAAACATTCATTCATGTTTTCTTCTGTAAAAAAAAAGTATCCATAGTTGTTTGTCATATTTATGTTAATTTGACCTGTCACAAAAATAAATTTCTATCTGTACAGACTGCATTCGGTCTAAAATGTTTTTAAAGAAAAATACTAGATGACAAACTACACAATGAAGCAACATTTGGTGTCAAAAAACGCATGTAGAATTTATTTATGCAAAAATATTTTTCCAGAATTGATTTAAACACAAAGATGGTAAAAGTGGGTTTGGAACAGCAGTAAACTGTTGTTTTACCTCATGCTTTAGCTTTGCCATGCTCATGTGCAGCCCATACAGAATGGGTCAATGTATGATGTATGTGTACAGAGTACTGGCTGCTGACTGTGGCTCGTACATTTCTTCAAGCCAGTTAACCATTGTCTGAATAAGCTTTTATATCAAGTGTTTTTTGCCACTGACTGAAATTCCATAGGATCTGATCCACGTTGTCATTCCACATCATTATGCTGAAGTTACTTAGTATAATAATCACGCAGAGCCCTTTCAATTAATTAATAAAGTCAATATACATTTCATTAAGACATAACATTTCCTACATTAGATATTTAAAGTGGCTTTCAATACATTTTTCATTAAAATCAAGTGTTTAATTTTCAAATGTAAACAATAAAAACATTGTCCATTAATAAAATAAGTGTCCCTCAGTTCCAAATGTCAAACTCTTATGCTTTTGGAAGATAGTCTCGCAAGGACGGGCTCTTGTAATTATAACAGGTTATACTTTTGTCCAGTGGTATGTTGGTGCATACTGTGACACAATGCCTGAGAAGGTATACCTGAACACAGTGATAAAACATCCAGTATTCATGTGTTGAAAATGGATATAGGTTAAAAAGGCTAAAGCATCCAATATGAGGCACAGTCCAGTGTGAAGAGCCTCTCCAGTCCTGAAGAGATGTCCTACAGATGAGTGTCGTCTTCTTCGCTGGGGTCTGCCTTGAGTTTGGCCAAAGCAGCATGCACCCTGAACTGTGTACGAGACTCCATCGAGTAGTCTTTGTAGTTGTGTCTGCAAGTCCAAACAGTGGGAAATGTTAAAGCGCGACTGAAAAGGGGACTATTACCGGTATTATTGATTATATTACATGCAAAGATGGTGGTCTCTCAAAACCACCTGCATAGTCACATTTTAAGCTATTCAGATTCTGTTTTTGTGAATTAATTCTCCACTTAAATCCAATGGGAGCAGAGTGTTGAGCATTAATATGTGCAGTACAAATAAAGGACGGCCTTTCAGACCTATACGTGATAGGCAGAGAGCGCCCTCTGCTGTTCCTGTAGTGACTAAAAACTGAGAAACCTAAGAGGAAGAACCCCTTGCACACTGTAGTACTATCCTGTCCCAATAGTTATGTAATAAAGACTGTTGGTGAGAGAATTCTAATAGCTATATTGTCATGGATTGCTGCTCTTCTCCCTCTACACAAAAAGCACCTCAAAAGACCCAAAGCTACAGTAGGTAACTTTTATATAGTAGTCTGACAGTAGTACATGAGAGAATCTGTGAAAAGATCAGGTTCCTCTGGCTCCTCCTAGTGCTCCTAATGGCATTTGTAAGGATCTACCGTATGGAGTTAGAATCATGCCAAAACCTCACACAAACACAAAACGTGTTTTACTCACGCCCAACGATTCACAAACA